TGATACACACAATATACGCGGAACGGGCAAAATCTCAGACAAAAACTTGATTTACGGAATTCTTAAGGGTTGTCGGAGGGGAGTGTCTTACTCAAAACGGCGATAAGCAAATTCTTGTCCTGGTGTCTTTTTCGACGCAGGGTAATAACCTGGTTCTTTTAACAACGTGTTTCATGGTCACTGATGTCATCATTGCGTAATCCCGGAATCTATTGTTAGTTCTAATATTTTTCCCAGTAAAAATTAAAATTGGTTTAATCAAAATGCCATTAAGCTCTGGTCTTCGCAGAACTTAAGATTATTTCCTCCTTTGGATTGCTCAAGAAGAAATCTCGCAAAATCTTGCAAATTAATGAAATCCAAATAGATAGTCCAAACAAATTGCTTTATTTTCAATTTCTTTCTTTTTCAATCATGAAAAATTCTTTCCTTTCAATAACAGTAGCTCAGCACAGTTTTATGACGAAAGACGATGCTTATTAAAATAGTGCGTTTGCGATGGTTACGTTACCCATTGGGATGTTGCTCAATATGAGAAAAACCTGGAGCCACACGACACTTACAGACTTAGAAGACTGGAGAGTCCCTTAGAGTCATTTGATTCAATGGAGTCGATGCTAACAGTATCAATGGTCCTGGAAAAGACGAAAGCAATAACTTTATTGAAACACACTGGAAAGGTCATGACGGTATTTCGAGGGAAGGTAATTAGGTTTAGAATCCTTTACAGGATAATGAAACCTTTTCCAAAAAAACCTGTATTTTTAGCATGATTATTAAAAGTTAAGAAGATAGCAGTCAGAGAACAGCGTTTGCGCGCAGGCAAACATCCATTCTTGGCACTCAAGTATAAAAGGTCAATTTGATTCAAGTTATAAAATCAAATTTTGTGGCACTTAGTTACGTGACGTGAGTCTTATGTGACTGAGCATGATGTTTAATATTTGTTGAACATCTCTTTTTCTTCTGCAGTTACGTAATAGGGGCACACGGATTCAAAGAGTAATGTGTTACAGTTGGAAGTTGGGAGAAATGTTTAGATGATGTAATCAGGGGTCCTTGGGCATGATCTTAAACGGTT